ATGGTCATGCTAAATTCCAGTCCAGCTGTACTCAAGTATGTGACCTCGGATGAATCAGTTCATCTCACTGAGTCTTAGTTTCCTTACCTTCATGATGCCAAGAATAATAGTACCTTTCTTACAGAGTTATTGTGAGTAAAATAATGAGATAATTCGTGTAAATAACTTAGCATGATGAGCACTCAAGGAATTTTGGTTATTTTATTGTCATTTATACCACTACCACTTCTTGTCTACTCTCTGCTAGGTTCTGTGCTAAGCACTTAATGTGTGTTAACTTTTCAATAGCTCTGCGAGGCAGATTTTAGATCCTCATATGCACAAGGAAAACAGGCTCAGAGGCGTTGAGGCTCTTGCCTGAGTTGAACCCAAGTCTGTCTAGCTCCAAAGCCTCTTTGCTTTCTACCCACATGCTGGCTGTGAATTCCTTTGCTGGACTTTTTGTGGTGATATGGCAATGATGCTGCTCTCAGGGATGGTGAGGTCAGTGTAGCTGTAGGTGTTGCCCACTGAATAAGCAGCAGAACCTGGACCCGGCCCCGGCCTGTGTGACTGCAGAAGCCTGACCACTCTCCCTTGTAGCTTAAGGGGAAACAGAAGCTTGGTATTTACGGGTCTGCTAATTCCACTTTTAGGAAGCTTGAAATTGGGAATACTTGGAAGAGATATCCGGAGTTGTTTTTTTATGTTACAGTTTTATGCCTCAGTAGCTTCCAGAAGGCTTATGGCCTTCCCAGTAACTTTTAATTCTAAAGTGTTCCTAACTCAGAATTAGTAAGTTTGGACAGAATTAATAGGGCACTTGGGGGCACAGAATAAATCCCCCCCCTTTTTGTGTTAATTTGGAAAGTCTCTGTGAAATGTGTGGATTGTTCCAGCCATGTGGTAGAGCTCCATAAATCCATTGCCCATAAACGATAGGAACTCACACTTGCGTCATTCAGCAGGGTCATTCGTATTCTTCTCAACAGAAAGAAGGAAACTTATTTGATTTTCTTGAAATTACCTCTTCCAAACAAAACAGGTTTGGAATAACCAACAAAAGTGAAAAATTCGAATTGTCATCAGAATTCCAGCTTGAGCTTTTAGCATGGAGACAAACTCTTGGCCTCGCTAGAAAGTGGCCAGACAGTAGGCAGGCTTTAAACAGCTTGTATTTGTGCAAGTTTCAGAGTTAAATGAACAACAGTCATTAGGGGAGTGATTTTCCATACTCCTTAACGTAAATTTGTATCATCTGCCCTGACTTGCTCACCTTTACAGAGGTGCCCTTGCACTCCGGAGACATGTGTAATCCCAGCAGAGGTAATCTTGTGTCTGGCACTCGACATTTTGTGGTGCAAGAGCGGCCGCATCAGAGCTCTTGAGCAGCCTGGGCCTGGCTCACAGTGATGCCCGGAGAACTGGCCTTTGGGACTGTAGGTCTCACCCGTGGTAAGAATCTCCTAGAACTGGTTCCGATATGGTCTCACAGCTTTTCTTTTAAAGAAACCTACCAGTGTGCAGAATGAACGACTCTCCTGGGTTCCATGTCTCCTCCTGCTTGGCTGGGTATAAACATTGTTTTGGAAGCAATTTTTCACGCATCTGCCGAAATCTGCAGCCTTTCCTCACAACCTGTTTGCTTCTCCAGCATTTCCGATGTTTTTTAGGTAGGAATATAACCTCACATTTTTGGTGATAGTTGAAATTAAAATGTGTATCCATTCTCTTTGTGCCCATTGTAATGTTGCCCAGGGAGCTCATTTCCAGTTACGAAAAGAGAAGTAAAACTTGAAGGCCAGACGTAAGGGGGTGGAGGCCTATCACAAGTCTGAATTCATTTTCAGACGTTTTCAGCTAGGGGTGGCTGAGAGTGCTATAGTCGAGGGCAGAGGCAGAGGAGTGCTAAGGGACACCATTATTTGTTGAAATCCATGCTTATCCATTCGGGGCATGGCTTCTGGAGTGAAGATTGGCTGGAAAAGCTGAGCAGAATGAGTAATGACAGCTGAGGACGTGGAGAGTGCAGATGTGAGGAGCCTCAGCCCTACATTCCAGGTCCGTCCTCTCTCCTGCTTCGCTGTGCAGCAGGTCAGGAGATTTCTCCTGTGGCAGACTCACCCTACTTAATATGCTGAGTTGACCTGTGGCTTAGAAGTCACATGAAGTGCCTAGCACGGTGCCTGCCAGGCACAGATGCTCACATACAGGAGCAAGGTTTAAATGTCAGTGATAATAGTGCATCAAGAGGTGGTCACCTGGGAGGAGCCTTGCAGCTCAGCAGTGTTTGGGGAACACAGGAAAGCGGGGAGAAAGCCTCTTAGAGTCTGTGGTCCTTGAACTCAACAACAAACATAGTTTCTTTTTGCTTCCCTTGCAGAACTCAGGGGACTGCACATATGTATAGCCCCAGTACTTATTTTTAGGGTGCCAACTCCTCTGGAAGCCAGGACGTTTCTGTTGTTTTTGCTTTAAGTCCCCTTCTCTTCTTACCCCTTCGCCCCACTTGAACTCAGCTATGTTGTGATTCAGTTTATTTTGTTGAAAATTCAGTCCCCTAGGGAAAATATGATAATGCTGTTTTCAGACAGCTGTGTTTGGGAGCAAGACTGACTTAACCAGCTGGCTGGCATCATTGGAGCCCAAGGACCTGCCAGCCCATGGAGAGCAGCTGTTTTGGCTGAAATTCTCATCATTCTTATGACTTTGCTTCCTATATATCAGCTTCAGAGTTCTGCTTTTAAATGCACTCACACGGGGCGCCTGGGTGGCTCAGTCGTTAAGCGTCTGCCTTCGGCTCAGGTCATAATCCCAGGGTCCTGGGATCGAGCCCCGCATCGGGCTCCCTGCTCCGTGGGAAGCCTGCTTCTCCCTCTCCTATTCCCCCTGCTTGTATTCCCTCTCTCGCTGTGTCTCTCTCTGTCAAATAAATAAATAAAATCTTTAAAAAAAAAAATGCACTCACAAAGGAGAGAGAGAGGGCCATTGGAAAGAGTGTAGTATATCTAATTCTACCCATAGTTGAAGGAAATGGGGTGCCCCCACCTTCCTCTTGTTACTCATGATTGTTGAGAAGGAGGAAATCCAGGAGGAGGCTAGCTCCAGAGTGAGACATGATAATGAGTAGATCGATAAATATTGGTATCTTAATACAGTGTGGTTGTTACACAACCATTAAGAATCATGTTTAAGGGGCACCTGGCTGGCTCAGTCATTAAGCATCTGCCTTCGGCTCTGGTCATGATCCCAGGGTCCTGGGATCGAGCCCCACATCGGGCTCCCTGCTCAGCGGGAAGCCTGCTTCTCCCTCTCCCACTCCCTCTGCTTGTGTTCCCTCTCTCACTGTGTCTCTCTCTGTCAAATAAATAAATAAAATCTTTTAAAAAAATAAAAGAATCATGTTTAAGATTTTTTAAAGAAAGGAGAAATGTTGAAATATAATGTTAGATGTATAGGATACAAAACTGTGTAGATTATGTAATCCCAATTAGGGAAAATGGTTTTTTGACATTAAATGAGGTAACTCCTACAAAGCACTTAACCTGATACCTGGCATGGCAGATGCTCAGTAAATCACAGCTACTGGATGCAAAAACATTCCCCACAGGGAACGTGTTTACCTCGTGCATTGTGATATCCAGAGTACTAGGTATGAAGTAAATGCTCAAAAGATCTTTCTTGACTGAATGAATTAGTGTTATCATTTATATGCATTTGAAAAGAAATCGAGGGGCTCCTGGGTGGCTCAGTCAGTTGAGTGTCCGACTCTTGGTTTCAGCTCAGGTCGTGCTCTCAGGGTCCTGGGATCGAGTCCCACATCAGGCTCCTTGCTCAGCAGGGAGTCTGCTTGAGATTCTCTCTCTCCCTCTCCCTCTGCCCCCACCACTTGTGCTCTCTCTCAAATAAAATAATCTTTAAAAAAGAAAAGAAATCAAGAAAATCTAGGGATACAGCTTTCTATGTTATCTGTAATTGTATCTATAATTGTGGCAGCTGATCTCTGTCTTGTTCTTTATTATAAATGGTGAGGACAGTACATCTTGCTCCAGGTCACTGAGAACTGAAGGAGCCACATGTAAAACACACACAGTGACACATCCCTAGGGAAGTGACATTGTGTGGTGGCTGTGGTGATCATGGTAAGCACCACGTAAGTGTAGCTGTTGTAATAATTACATCATGCTTGTATCTGTAAAAAGAAAAGGTATTGTCTTGATTTTTGTCTGTTGTTTTGTTCTTGTTTTTTTACCCAGGACTTTTTTTTTTTTTTTTTTTAAGTGAAAGTCTAAAAGAAAAAAGTGCATAAGAAAACTCAAATGCTTATCGTGGTTGTCTCTAAATAGTGGAATTAGAAAGTTTTTCTCTTTTTTTCCTGATGCTTTTCTACATTTTCCAAATTGTCTGTGGTATTGGTTACTTTTATCATCAGCCTTTTTTTCCCCTTTTAAATGAGAAAACTCTCAGCATCAAAGATGACACAGAGCTCCTGAACTAGAAAGCAGGCTCCATCTAAGGATGACTGAGGACTGGGAACTGGTGCCCTGCTCTGGACTTCTTCTTGGAAAGTTATTTAAATGCAGTTTCACGTTCTAAGAAATTTGCAAAGCAATCATTAAGAACTGGTCAGTAGAACCAGTGAGGAAAAGTAAAGGGTTTTGATGAACTGGTTCTGGACAAAGGTAGTCAAAACACTCAAAGCCCTACTAATAGACAATGGCTTATATTTAGCACAGTTCGTTTCCCTGGAGAGAACAACAGAGGGAGGACCAGTGAAAGTGACAGCAGAAGGGGCTAGAAATGGAAGGGAATGGTCGGCAAACTCTGAGAATCCCTTCCGAAAGAAAATGTTTAGTGCCAGTTCTGAGAGATGTTTCAAATGAAGTCCTGAGCTAATGCCGGTGGTCTTTTCGGGTTTTCTTGCTGATTCTTTGATACCACCAAGCTTTCAGTTGCGCTGGTTAGGGCTTGCTCCCCCACTCACAGCAGTGTGTAACCCTTCTATGCAACTTTACTTGCAGATATTTAACACCGTGCCTGATACACCTCTCACCAATGCCCAGCTGCACCTGTCCCGGAAGAAGAGCAGTGACTCCAAGCCCCCTTCCTGCAGCGAGAGGCCCCTGACACTCTTCCACGCCATGCAATCAGCAGAAAAACGTGAGTCCCATGGCTCGGGGCCAGCAAGGTGCTCAAGAGATGTCCTGTGCTGCCTCCCACCTGCTCAGGGTGCACGTCTCCAGCCTCTCTGTGTCCTGCTGTCCTGTGTGTCCTTGAGGATGGTGTGTGGCTGGGCCCTCCCCGGTTCATTGCTGAGTAAGCCTGGGTAGGACAGGAAACAGTGTTAGGAAAATGAAAGGCCAGGGCCACTTGCTGTGCAGGATTCTCTCTTCCAGATCTCCTTTGGGCAAACAGCTGAGCATTGTTTCCTCCTGTGGCACAGTAAGAGCTCAGCTCTGGCATCACTGCCTTGGCCCCTCTTTGGTTAGCGGCTCCCACAGAAGCAGTTTCCTTTTCTCAGTTTGTCATTAAATGCTTATTAGTGCGAGTAACGTGCCCCACTTGAGTGTGACTCTGAGGCCAGGCCCTGGCTTTTCTCATCCTGCTACTCCACCTCTCACGGAACCTGGCATGGAGTGGACACTTAATAAATGGGTGAACTTATTGAATGAATTAATTAGAGAATAACACTCTCTTTGTTCCAAGCAGCACAGTGTTATCACCCCAGTTTTACGGAGTCCTTTTTTCATGTCAGAATGGAGTTCTTTGCAGTTATCAGGTGACTGGGCCCTAAACTATTCACGCTTGTTTCAGCTTCTGGAATAAGGCAGCTGAGTGGTGTAGTGGGAGGAGTTGAGAGCTCAAGCTCTGCCTGGAGTCCTGTCAGACCTGGGTTCTCGCGCCAGCAGCAACACACGAGCAAGCCTTTTACCATCTCTCAGCCTCTGTTTGCTCATCTGTAAAGTAGGGATAAGAGTGCCTCTCTTATAGGGATTTGTTAGGAAGTAAATAAAATTTTACATTTAAGCATCTGGCACAAGTCTTGGACTTGGCAAGGGCTGATAGCTGAGAGCTGCTGCTATTATTACTAGTTATTGTTTAATCACACACAAATACCAAGGCTCGTTCTTTCACACAACCGACAATTGCATGTTGCCTGCGAGAGACTGGGAATATAAACATCAGACCTTGTCTTTAAGGTGCTCACGGTTGAGGGAGGGGAATAGATAAGTGAATAATAGATAGCGGTAAGTCACCATGATCACCGCCCTTGGAGAGAGAAGTCCATTCACAGAGGCTGCGGAACATGGACAGTTGAGAGAGTACGCCCTGGCACCAGATTGCCTGGCTGCTAGTTCTGTGTCTGCCGTCTCCGGCTGCACATGACGTGGGCAAGTCACCTAGCATCCCAGCGCCTCAGGGTCCTCTTCTGGAAGACAGGGGTAACAGTTTCTACCTCATAGGTTTGTTGTGCAGATTAGAGTACTTCACATGGTACCTGGTGCAGAGTAAGTGCCCAGTAAATGCTGGGGGGATATTGTTGTTATTGTTGTTGTTGTTAACCTTTATGAAGCACAGTAAAGACACAGAGCAGAAGAATGAATCACTTGGCCTTGAAGAGGAGAGAAAATATATATGTGGATTGGCATCTTCTTATTTGTCACCAAAAAAATCTTTCTTTTTTTTTTTTAACAAAAACCATGTTTTATCCCCTGTATTTCAGAAGTAATGGCTTTCATTTTCATTCTGAAAACAAATCTTCGCTGTCCCCAGACCATCACTATTTTTGAAGATGTCATACTGTCCCATAAAATGGCTAGACCTTGGTGAATTTAGCACCATTTGGGTTGTTTCAGATATTTAGCTTTTATGAGTAAAGCTACTGTTATCTTCGTAGCTAAATCTTTTCACAGGCATGATCATTTCCTTAAGCTAAATTCCTCGAGGAATTTCTAGGTCAGAGGATATACACAGTTTCAGGGCTTTGACCCCTATGGGGTTGAGTTCCCTTTAAACAATAGACTGCGTTCCTCTTAAATATGTGGCTTGGGCTATTCTCACTTTGGTCTGCACATGGCCTGGGCCCCTCTGAGTGTAGCAGGGAACACTGGGAACAGGACTGGTCTCCCCATACCTACCATGAACAAGAACGGCATTGGGCTGTGGGGTGATGTATTTCTCACGGTGCTAGGAGAGCTGCGGTCACCTGACATTTGGGACTAAGCAGTGGACAGTGTAGATTAGGACCCATCAGACAGTTAGGTTGAAGCAGAAGCAGCTTTGGAAGAGATCTCAAAGCATATTCTGGGAGCATGTTAGAAAAAAGATAGAGATTAGGAGAAAATCAATTAGATCTTGACCCAAGATTAATTTGATCACACGAGGTAGAGGATGAAAGGTAAGGACATGTGAGAACAGACAGACCTAAGCCGACGAACGAGCTGCTGATGTATCAGTCTGCAGACAGTGGACAGAAGGATGGAAGACGGAAAGATAGTGAAGCAGCCTGTCTTTCCTCTGAATGTTACAAAGTGCTCCCTGGAAACAGGAATGGAACCTCGGATATTTGAGGGGTGCTTAGCTTTCCTCCCTTTCTCAAAGAAGAAATGTTTTCATTGAAAAGTGTGTAGGCGGGCATATATACATAGACTTTTTATAGTTTGTTTTGGAAAACCTTTTTTTTTCCCAAGAAACTAGAACGATATCCAAGCTGGCTTGGAAAGTACCATAGGATGGGTGGGTTACTGGCCAGGAGCTGGCAGGTTCTGCTGGCACCCCACCCCAGCTTGTGACCCAGCCACCCCTCGCTGTGAGATGAGCAGGTGACAGGGGACTGTCACGTTTTCACACACCTGACTCTCCCCTCTGTCTCGTCTGTGGATAGAGACAGAAGGCTCCTTTATCAAAGCACTTTGCTGAGTTTACTCTGTAGAATTGAAGTACAAATAAACACGGCCGGTCTTTTGTGGGTAAAAAAAAAAAGAAAAAAAAATGTGTATTTCCGTAGGGTGATGCTTTTCAGTTTAAGGGAACTTTCGATATCTAGCTCAGTTCCTTCCAAACTTAAATCATTTGCATAAACCTTCGTTCACTCTTTGGTCGACAAACACATAACTCATACGCTGTCATTTAATACATTTCTTTAAATTGATTGGTAAAGCTTCAGTGCATAACTTAGTTTCTAGTTTATAGTAGACACTTGCTACACTTTTTTAAAAGAATAAATAAACGAACCCATAGACCAATGAGATGATGGCACATCTATCCAGGACAACCATTTTTTAATGCTATGCTATGCTTGGTACTTATTAAAGATGCTAAGGTTGAGGCCTAGAAAAATGAAATTATTTTGCAGAATCATATAACAGAGAAGGCAATGGATTCAGAATGAGGTTTATTTGTCTGCAAACCTTTGGTCTTCCTACAACATTATGTTACCAAATCTTGACAGAATCTGAAAGAAAGATCGCGGGAGGAACACAGAGAAAAAAAGAGAATATGAAAATTAATTTTGCAATGTGTTATATGTAGGAAACAAAGGAGAAGAATGTGGAATTTTGAAATTTGAGTCATTGGGAGAAGCTTGGTGCTATGAAAAGAAAGGAGAGGGAATGAATTGCATTTGTGACAAAAGAAGCTTAAACTCCTGAGATTCTATGTAACGTTTCCAAAGGTTATTTGGAAGAGTGATTTAGAGGTACATCCTGAAAGTGAGCATTTGAACCTGAATATGGGGTAAAAATGCCAGCAAAGGGAATATTTAAGCTGGAAAAAAAAATTTCCTTTCTGAGAATATTTCTTTGTGATGCTCTGGCTTCTCTGGATATGCTGGTTAAAAGTCACCCTGCTCAGCTGGTCATGAAGTCTGGTCCCGGCCATTGTATGGAAAACTTGCATCACTTCTGACCTCAGTAGTCTCACTAATCTCCTTTGACTGTGATTTTCAGGCTATTAATTATCCTGTTCCCATTATCTATGTGAGAAGAGAATTACTTCTCTGTAATATCAGATCATTCTCTCTTTACATGTTCAGCTATGATTATTATGTGCAGGTATGTTCATTTTGTATGATTCTTCTGCGTTTTTGAAGTAAATGTTCAGTCTAATAAAGTTGGATTACTGAAATGCAAAAAAAATTAATTTTAAAGCCACTCCCTTCTTTACATGGCCTCATCCTATTCAGTAAAATCTCTAAAAACATGAATTTGATGGTCTCACCATGTTATTCTCAAGTATACATTAAAATAAATATGTAACCATTAAGATAAAGAATGTTCATCCGACATCTTACCTCCCACCTGTGAAATGTATGCCATGGTTTAGAGTCCACAGATCTTGCTCTGAATTTTTGGGTGACTCAGTTCCTTTCTCTTAATGTAAATATACGAACTCGAGTTTCTTTGGACTAGAGTTGGGTTTCGATATTGTCAGTTGGCTGTTATATCACTGTGGATGCTCACTGTGTTCCCCTGTCATTTCCATGTTGTGCACTTTCAGTTCCTGTGACACCTGTCCAGGTTTGATGTGACCTTACCTTTCTTCGGGTTCTTGCCACAGAACAAATATCTTGTTAGGATTGCTCTTGTGTGGACACACGAGTACATCTCCACATACCCCTTCTCTGCCTTCACACTTGGCAGATGATGTTTTACAGAACCTTATTTCCTCTTATTTCCATCTGTCCGATCTCTTTTGAGTTCAATTATGCTTTTCTCCTCACTGATGCACTTGCAGTTGAGAATTTTCTCTGTATTCCATTGGTTAGCCCTCTCTTCAGTCCCTGTTGAAATGCTTACTGGGCCTAAAATTCCCAGCCATAGCTCACTTGGGTGCTTCCCTTTGAGAGGTTCCAGTTGTTGATCATCAGCACACATTATTCTCTCCCCTCTCTGCAGTGCCCCTGCTCTGTGCAAAAGGTGGAGCCCATTCTTTTGTCATAGGCATGAATCTGTGCCAACATGCTTGGCCTCAGGCTGTCAATCGCCTCCCTCTTCCTGGAGAGGAAGCTCCTGAGAGTCACCTTGGGCATTCATAGTCTCAGTCTTCTGTTTTCATACCTCCACTTCAGGCTCATGGAAGCATGTGACATAATAGCTGATGCTCCTGGATGTGTGTCTTGTTTTCCAGAAGTGTTTTTCTTTCTGTGTACAAAGACAACT